GAAAAAAAGAAACAATTTATAAGTTTCGCTTATGTCTTGACAAGGTAACAAAGCAAACCCCATATTTTTTGCAATATCTTGAACTAATCACTTGTCATCTTGTCAATCAAATTTTAAATATTTCCTGCTATGCGTTCCAGTTGTACCAACTTATTTCTTTGTAAAATAAAATAAACTACTTTGAAATTAAAATGACAGACACATCTATCACTGTCAAAGATCTTCTCGTTGGACAGACTATAGATAGATGCGGGACTAGAAAGGCAAGCGGGGAACAAGCCGTAACATATCGGTGAATGGAAAAAAACATACGCACAGATCTTCATGACGTGGGGTAGCATGGCGTCGCGTGGCGTGGCGTGTCGGCTAATGGAGCCCCGGCATTATGATTACCAAAGTAGCTTATTCAGGATTTTAAAGACAATTTAGTAGGTCCGATCTGTATTCCGGAAATTTTGGCAGCATATCCTGCATATAAAAATAAGTAAAAAATTTCGTATAAATGCATGTCCTAAAATGTTTAGTTTCGGGTATACAGAGTGTAGAAGATTAATTTTTATTTCGATTTTTTTCAAATAATTTCTGAAATAAAGTGAATATTTGGATGAAAATTGGTATCTGGGCGTTTTTTGACATGAGCAATTTGATTTTGATGTCAATATGACTCCTACTTGTAGAGGGCGCCACCTATATATTTTTTTTACTGGTTTGAAGACTAATAACTTTTTGTGCGTACTTGTATAAAGCTAACGAGTAAAAAATTATACATTTACGACATTTTTTGCGTAAAAAGGATCGATCTCTAGGTAAAAATCGCTACAAATAATGGTTCTCGAGATATATGGAATCTAAATTATCAACATCTGACATCATTGACATAAATTAAACATGTTAAATAAATAGTTATTAGACTGAAATCATAAATTAGAAATGCTTTTGTGCTAAAAGTTCAACAGAAACTGTTTTATCATCATTTTTTCGAAGAAAAATTTATGATTAATTTAAAAAAAAATAAAAAGTTCCCAAATTTACTTAACTATCTACACAATCTGTTTATTTTTTGTCAATAATGATATGTATTGACAAATTCATTTTAAATATGCCGGAATTCTAAATATCTTGAGAACGGTTGCTCGTAGTGATTTTTACGAAAATCGGAAAAAATGTCGTAAACGTATATTTTTTCACTCAGTAGTTTTATACAGGTACGGACAAAAAGGTATTACTCTCCAAACCAATTAAAAATTATGTAGATGGTCATATTGACATCAAAATAAAATTTCGCACATCAAAAAACTCCCAGATACCAATTTTCATCCAAATATTTACGTTACTTCAGAAATTATTTCAAAAAAATCGAAATAAAAATGAAATTTCTACACCATGTATCTCCGAAACTCAGCCATTTTAGGACATACATTTATACGAACTTTTTTATCTGCAGAATATGCTGCCAAAGTTTCCGGAATACAATTCAGACCAACCTTTATATTTATGCCAACGCATTTTTGAATGATATTTTTTAACATTCAAAAAAACTTTTCAAAAAAATTGAAATGGGAATTTCAGAAACACTAGATCACTGTTCAATTTTGAAAATATGAACTTATAAAAAATAAACTATTAGTTTATATTATAAATATTTATTAAATCTATATGTTATAATATCCAATTTATCCTCAAATCTGTAAACCGCTCATAGCGAAACAAGATTTTTAAAGATAGATAAGGCCGTTTTCAGACATCCTTCCTTTCCTGCCTCCCTATACAGAATATATGACTAGGGTTGCCCTTATCCCATCCGACGCGGGCCTTCATAATACACCCAAATCCCCGGACAACAATATTTTCTTTATTTCGTTATGCTGGAATGCTTTTATATCGTCGGAAAGCGTGGCTTGGTTTTTCTTGCTCAAAATTATCTATACATTTCATAATACACGTCCAATCACACACCCGTCTACTTTGCTTTGGAATATATAAAAGAATATTTAGAACACCTACGATTATTATGCGATTTATTGGTTTTATTGAAAAGAAAACATAATGAAAAAAATCAGAATAAAAAAGGAATCTTGTCCTTTTTAGTTTTTACAAAAAGCAATAGAAATGCCGATTTTAATTTATTATTAAAAAAATATTTCCTTTTGTGCAGCTAAAAGTTTGAATAAAAATATCTCTCAATATAACTATGAAACAAATCGTTTGTCAGCTACTAATTTAGAGCGAATAACTGTAAAACCAAGCTCTTATGGAATATTAGTTTTAACGCACAGCTTATTCAGTTCCAGCTTGTCTTTATAAGTATTCGCGTCTCACCTGCTCCACTTATCATCGTACCCATCCTAGCAGTAAGAACACCAGACTCGATAATTATTTTAAACTTCATTCGTAATATAAGTTTCATAACATAACTAAGTTTGTATATGCTGTGATTTTAGTAGTAGTCATTTCCGGTGAAACAGGAAGTGGCCGAAAAGAATTGAATACGTCAATCAATCCTAATTTATGTTATATACTAACATACAAAATCTCCCCATACAGCACGTCCAAATGAAATTACGTTTCTACAAGGGAGACACATGAGAAACCAAATATGTTAAAGTGAACCTAAGTGTTCATGTAGTTCTAACATATACTTATGAGATACACGCAGGTTTATATTGATAGAATTGTGTGATACAGTGTTTACTAGTTGTATACCGTATGCACTCAAGATTCTAAAGAGTTTTTTGTAACGTAACAAATAATTATTAAAATGATGAAATCTGACGTCGGTATATGAGACATACAATGTATATGTCATATGTATGTGTGATACTTCGTATCATAGTTGTGCCTATAGTACACAACTTTTAAAAATGTGACGTATACACATAGTATAAATTTCTATATAGACACTTCGTAATAGTGTACTGTTGTGTCTACATTCTAGCATGAAATGAAGGTGTGCGCACGCGCGGATAGCCTCAGCGTAGATACACCGACTAAGTGTATCTTATGTGTTCTCTCTTCTTTCTCCTTTCTAGGAGTGGTATGTGTTAGCAGCCATTATTATTTTATCATTCGGAAGCTCTATATAAATGTTCTGTTTGTGTGTAGTTTAAAAGAGATTTTAAGGTAAGCACAAGTTTTTAATTACCTTGTTACACCTTCCTAAGAGTATTATTAATATTATAGCAGCGACTCTTCCCTTAATCGATACCCAATTTACCAAATTTTGACTCCAATGAATGAAAACTCCAAATATTCTCGTATAATGATAAAGAGGTTCGCTCTGCAATATAATTTTTTTTAATTTGGAAGTAATAAAAATCTAAATGGATCAGAGAAAGAAAGATTTAAACACTTCAAAGAACTTCTTACACTGATATTCGGTAAGTTATTGATGGATCAATATACATGTATGTTTAATATTCAATAATCAGTTTCATATAAAATTTAAGGGTGAGATTGTCAATCTGAGATTGTTAATCTCGATGAATGAGTATGCTAACAGACCAACTGCTTGGAGGGAAAAGAAGAGACAAAAATATCTAAACGAGGTCTACCAAATCGTGGCGATATACCAGTGTTTACCATTTTAGTATGTTGTTATACTAGGTACTTATATTTTTAATACATTTTGATACAAATTCTGTTCTTTTATAGTGTTTTCTTACTTCTGGTTTCTGCAGTGTAAATAATTATTATTATTGTGTTATTTGCGCTATTGCGTTCAATGATATAAAGAAATATCAGAATTTTATTTTTAACCACTTAATCCATTTTATGGAAAAAAATGGTACATTTAATACAAAACAAAAATGGAACAAATACAAAATCTCGTTGTTTGATCTGAAAAAAATAAAAAATCTATAGAGGTGAGCCATTTTTGAGACGCACCTGATATAATTATCATAACTTCTTAGCGTATGATTACATCCAAAAAAATGCGTATGATCCGAGTCAGTTAAGCAAATTTGTTTTACTAAGAAAATACCACTGACTAATTATAGTTCGTTGGGATCTACAAAGTGGTGTTTATAAAAAAAAATCTAGTGGCAAGAAAATTAAGATTTTCAAAAAAAGTATATCATATGTCCTAAGATTATGTAGTATATATTGCCAAAGAAGAATTATTAAACTTTTAACCATTTCGGAATGATTGAGCACGGAAAGTCACAGACAAACCATATTTCTGTTTATAATTTATTACACCGGGGAGATTTACTTGTTAATTCCCTCTGGTTCAAATTAGCATTTATAATATATTCCAAGCATTGTCATTGAAGTTATTGTTTGTTGATGGTAACACGTGGGGACATCACTAATTCCCAACACAACTGTGCATAGGACAACCGTAATAATGCTAAACAATGTCATTAAGCAACAAATACATTAATTTATACATAGATAATCATTTAATTACAACAAAACAAAAAAAAGTTGTCTATACAGATACTTAAACTTTTAAAGTAAATATAACCTTGTATTTGATTAAAAGTATGCTATTGTACATTTTTTAACATTTTTATCTATTTTATCCTGGTATAAATATGAATGATTTTCTAAAAAGAAATTAAATTATAATTATTTTGCCAGTCATAGACAGATTTAAACAGAGTTGTTTGTTAGATATATTCTGTCCAGCTAGAGAATGTATGGTAGTGACAGTTGTTCTCATTTTAATTAAAAAAGTATGTTTGCTACAATTTTTTATGTTGATTGTTTAAATCATACACAGGGTCGGCAAGGTTTACCTTTGGGTGCCAGTTTTCGTGTCTACAAATAGTATAGTCAATATGCTCAGTAAAATTAAATATACTGAACAGAAAAAGAAAAGCCAGAAGTTTCCCAAGAGGATATGTAATAACACTTTTTTCGCATTTTTCTTTCTTATAAGATAGACATAGCAATTCGCTCCTAGACATAAGGATGCCGACCCAGGATTATCTGTTACTTGTTGATATTGTATACTCTCGTTGAACAGGCTATGATAATTTAGAAGAAATATTTACCTGAAATACTATGGCATCACGTTCAAGCTGACTAAAGTTCTTGAATATCGTGTCAATGATATCGTGGTACTTGTCTCTTTGTAGAAAACTTGGACCATCTTTTTCGAAGAAGTCGATGAAGTCGTAGAGAAGAAAATAAGTACCTGAAAACAAGAAACATTTATTAATAATAAAATTGACTATATATTAGCGTTTAATGATTTTGAGACTTTGAGACCATTCTCTAGATGTTATTTACTAAAAATTGACACTTACTTGTCAAACATTAACACTAATTACAGAAAGATTTAAAAAAAAACAATTAATATGATCCCAGTATTCAAACTACATTAATTAACAGTTTACGTTGATTATTATCTAATAATTGCCCCAAATACTACAAGAACTGAATTTTGTATGTATGTGTATTAGACAGTGTGGTAAGAAGTAACAACAGAGACGTTTATTTTCATAACTTATTATATATGATATATTCATTTTTGAGTCAAATCCACATTTATTTAGAATAACTTATTAATTAAAACAACTAAGTATGTAGTTAGTTAATTTTTGGACGGAAATAATGGCGGTATATTTAATTTGTATACTCTTTCACAATTAAATCTTTGTGAAATAGTTTTCTTTTTGTAAACAAATGCGCTTGTAATATTATTATTTTTACCAGCTGTATATTTTGTACATAATATGTTGCTTTAAAAAAATCTTAAATATCAATATTACATGGGTATAGTGATAAATGAGGTCTAAATTATAAGGAATTTTCTACAAAAACTTGAAGAGATAGGCACAAAATGGTATATAATTTGACAGACAATTAAATTGTGCATCTGATTCACGTAAAATATACAGGGAGTTCCATTTCAATTAAACAAGTTATTGTCGTTTAAACCTAGTAATTATTTAATATAAATTTTTGGAGACTCTGTATAAGGTAGTATAATTTTTATTATTCCATCACAATATCTGATCAATAAATAATCTTCAGTGAATATTTGATATTAAAAACCCTTGGAGAAATGAAGCATTAAATTTTTTACTGCAATTTAACAAAATTGAAAATATTTAAAAAACGATAAGGTTTAAGTGTGATAAACCTTAATCAAATTTACATTTATTTCAATCGTAGAGTCTACAAATAGAATAATATACAGGGTATACCATTTAAAAAAAACAAAACTAATATTTTTTACTTATTTGCGACACTCTGTACGTTGTAAAATTATTTTTAAATTGCAGCTCTAATAGTCCTTCAACGGACCGAAACTTACAATTTGTAAAAATCTAACCGTTTAACTACAACACTCCGTATCGTATGTGGTAAACAACCCTGTATATTATATAAATTTTTAAAATTTATTACCGTCTAAAAAAATCCACTAATCATTAATTTTCCGTATAATTATTAAATGTTTACTCAAACTTATTAAATCTCTTAAACAAGTAAAATAACAAGAAAAAAATATCATAAACAAACACGTTAAAATGACCCCGAGCAATTCAAGCACGTATCTCTAGACAGCACACGTACAAACAAAATAACAATTTTGTTTTCTTGTTCAACAAACATTGTTTAGGCTGTACTCGTTCCGGAGCATTTGTTTACATAAGCGTCCTGTTGATATTGATTGAAGGATTGTAAGTATGTTTTTTTAGGCTTTAATATCATTCATCATCTTCAACGATAAAAAAACGGTTCTCAAGGATAGACGTCAAGAAGCATTTTTGTTTAATGCCAAACAGTTTGGCGATATCTGAAAAAAAATCAAATAAGAAAAAATATTTCTTGTGTATGCTTAATAAAGGAGCAACACAGTGTAATCACAGATTAGGTATACTATATGTATAAAGATAAAAATCTTATCCCTAATTCGTGGTACGAAAATTGTTTTTATGACGATGTGCAAACGAATCAAATTTCCTGCGCGCAAAAATAAACTCGCGTAAAATTACAATAAACAGCGTAATAGAGAGATATCGCTAAACCGAATAGCGTGCATGGACGTTAATAAGGCAAGGTGTTATTTCCTTTACGTGAGGTGGTATTAACTCTCTTCATTTATAGTTATCGGATCGGAAAAAATTCTGTTCGCGTCGCGTCCGCTATTTAAACTTAACCTAACTTTGAATTTAAAACTTTTAAATTGTTTTGTTTACTAGGTATTTTAAAACTAAAGGGCTAAAGTGCTTATCTCCAGTGCTTCATTGTTCAACGTCTGCCAGTGGGTTTAGGGCAACAAGCAACAAATTCTCTTAGAAGGGCTAAGTCGTCATCTGCTGTAAAAATAAGCCTCTTTATAGGTTCTTTAATATTGGAAGAGGTGGAATTCATATTTTAGGCCATAGTATTTAATTAAAACTAATCCCAGCTACTTAAATAACAAATTACCTAATAAAACTAAAGTAATAATTCAAAACAATTCAAACATAACCTAAAAGAAAAGATCTCGCCGGCCGGCCCCGGTTGTCAAATGTACCCGCACATGCCCATTTAAGCAATTTTTAAACGTTATTTAGAAATAGCCCTTGGTGTAATTGATCCGCAAATTACGCCAGGCGGTAACGTTATTAGCGGATGTTGCGTTAAAAATTGACTCGCGCATATCGTAACCATGATAAGGTACACGTAAATACTGCATGACGCTATTCGGTTTTCCGATATCTCTCTAATAACTGTGCCGGTCAGGCGCTGTGCACAATTTTAGAGGCCATAAGCGGGCGTGCTAGGTGCGCAATCTAGTAACCTAACTAGTGCCCGATTCCGAAAATTGGAACCACGAAAAACTATAAAGAAAAAACAAAGTTTATAATCTGTATGATCTGTGGTGTAATAGACAGGTAAAGATTTAATTTTCATTTAAAAATAAGCTAAAAAGTCCAAATCCGCTTACTAGAACAAAATATATTAAACTTTAAAATATGAAAATTTTAAGCTGTCAATTTTTCTTACCTGTCAGTGTATATTGTTTTTTCTTTTCAATTTTATCTTTATCTTTTTGAATTTTTTAATTTTTGAAAATTGCCCATAAGTTTTTTATTTCGCGGAATAATAAAATTCTGTAAAAACGTTTTTAAAGCACTTTTTTAAGTACAATCCAGTGGCGTAGTCAGTTTTTTTCTGTGCTTGCTCTTTTTGTCAAAAATAATAAAAAAATATAATTTTTTAAATGGAAATTGTAGTTGGCTATGAACTTAAAAAATGCTGGCATTTAACCCTTTCCAACGATATAAAGTTATGGGTATCTATTTCTAAGAATGAGAGAAATATTAGTTAATTAGTTAATTTTTATCACAATTTAATATTCTATATTATTATTTATCTGCATAATTAAAGACTTTGGAACAGGTAAATTAACATTCTATTATTAGTATTAGTAATTACAACTGAAATCGATACAATAAACGAAGAACAAAACTAAAAAACGTATTTTTTGAGTGACGAATATAGTTTTCTAAAAAAATCAAAGATGTTCAAATTGAGCACCTCCTTGTTGAATACACAATAAACATCTTTTGCGCACAGAGTTATAATGATTTATTAGGCAAACTGGTTTAATAAGTCCAAAAGCTTGCCTAGTAGCCTTCTGCAATTCTTCTCTCGTCCCAATGGTTCTTCCCTTATTTATAAAGGCTTTTAATTTCTCCCATAAAAAAGTCGAAAGGAGTTAAATCACAGGACCTAACAGGCCAAGATATGGGCCCCTTGTTCCAACCCAAAATTCCCACCCAATTCTCTCTAAATTCTCCATTTAATTGTTCAGTTGTAACCCTGGCATTTAATTGTAATTAGTAATACTAATATAGAATGTTGATTTACCTTTTCAAAAGTGGTTACTTATGCAGATAAATATTCATATAGAATATTAAATTGTGATAAAAAGTAATTAGGCAACTAGGTCAACACAAAATCAAAACCCGCTTCGATACAAAGATAAAAAACCTAATATTTCTCTCATTCTTAGAAATAAATACACATAACTTTATATCGTTGGAAAGGGTTAAACGCCAGCATTTCTTTAAGTTCACAGCCAACTATGATTTCAATTTAAAAAAATATATTTTGTATTATTTTTGTATAGAAAAAAGTAACTACGCCACTGGATTGTGCCTAAAAAAGTGCCTCAAGAACGTTTTTACAGAATTTTATTACCTATTCTGCGAAATACAAAAGTTATGGGCAATTTTCCAAATGGTAAAAAATTCAAAAAAATCCCGTATCTCAGTTGGCAGTAAAAATATCAACAGGCGGTTTACGCTATTAAACGTGTCTCAGAAATCAAGCCTACGACATCTATGTCGGTTTTGCTCTATCTAGTCAGGAAATAGGTTTTCTCTGTTAAAACAGACCAATTTCGACCACCCTGTACAATTTTCTTACTCTTTAACATATTTATGAAGTAGTCATGTTTGTTTGCCACACAATAACAATTACAAATCTAAAATTAGTTAACCTTTATCAAAGTTACCATACGTAAATTCAATTAATATATTCACCCCTTCTGGAAATGTTGCTATTTTTATTTGTACCCTAATGATCAGTTAATGGAAAACTAAATTATGTGTGGAAATAAGCAATTTTTCAAACTCTCCATCATAAACAAAATTTTTTCACTAACGAAATATTGTTGCAATTTATCACGAAAACTTATTTATATTTTCTCTTTTATCTACTTCAACCAGACAGTGAAAAAAATGTGCAGATCTACAATGTCCAGGGGCCGTTACACGCCATTTATTTTTTTGTCAACGATCTTTTATGTTCACACAGAATGACGTCAGTAAAGATTACCCAGGAGAAACATCAGAGAGAAAAACTTTAAGAAGGAGTAGAACAAAGTGATTTAAAGTTGCAAATCGGAAACAAATCGATTTAAAAAAAACTAGCATAAGTTTTCTCACGGGTAATCTTTATTTAGAAGAGTAATTTTAATTTACTTTAACGTTTTATTGTGTATCTTTTTGTAATAGAATTTCCAACGAGGGGATACAAGACTGTGGCAGTTGTATCTCTCATTTTAATGCACAAGTAAATAATTCCTGTCATTTTTTTGGATGTAATTTGTCAAAATATTTTCAAAAATACAGGGTGGTCCGAACAGTATTCCGGAAACTTCAGCAGCATATTTTACTGATAAAAATAAGTAAA